CTCCATCAGAATAAAAAAGAGAATCACAACTGATCCAAAGAGATACAACGATAACAGTTATGAATACTCAAAAACTTTATGCAACAACTGGAAAATGTGGAGAATGGCAATTCTAGAACACAGCAGCCTCCCTAGGCTCAACCCGGGAAGAAATAGATTCCTGAACAGACAATCTCAACAGCTGAAATAGAACGCATTAAAATTCCCTACAAAACAAAAGTCCCGGTCAGATGCTTCACACTAAATTTTACACACCTACCAAAGGAGAACAGATACCTACTCTGAGAAACTATTTCCAACATCAAGAAGAGCGGAAACTCCCCGGACACGCCTTTTAGAAGCGGAATATTAACTCTGATACCGAAACCAGAAAGGATGCAACAAAAAGAAAAACTACAGACAGATCCTAAGAATATAGACGCAAAAATTTTCAAAACAAAATCTTAGCTAACCGAATCCAGACACTTTCCAATAAATCAATCCACCATGACAGTGCTTCATCCCAGGGATGCGAGGGGATGGTATCAACATACGTAATCTAATGCAATTCACCACATAAACAGAAGCAAAACAAAGACCACGAATGATGCTTTCAATAGATGCAGAAAAAAGCTTTGCAAAATTCGAACACCTTTCATGATAACGAACACTTAACGAAAATAGGAATAGAAGGGACAATAAAGATGATACAAGCATTTACGACCCATAGCCAAACATCATACTGAAATGGGAAAGATTGAAATCATTCCACTCTAGAAACTGGAACCAGACAAGGGCTGCCCACTATCCCACTTCTGTCTAACATAGTGCTGGAAGTCTTGGCTACAGCAATCAGACAGGCAAAATGGAATCAAGGTATCCAAATAGGGCAGAAGAGATGACAACTTTCACTGTTTGCTCTGAGAATGATATGTATCTTAAGAAAACCCCAAGGATTAACCAGAAACTCCTGAACTGATCAAGATTTAGTAAAGTCTCAGGATTACAAAATAATACACAGAAATCAGGCATTCATATACAGCAAACAACATCTACTTGAGAACCAAATCAAAGACTCAATTCCTTCACAATAGCAACAAAGAATTAAAGTACCTAGGAAATTACTTAACCAAGGAGTAAAAGACCTCTACAGGGAGAACTATGAAACACTGGAGGAAGGAAATAGCTGAGGATGTAAACAGATGGAAATCCATACCATGGCTCGTGGATCGGCAGACTTCAATATCATGCAAAATGTCTATACTACCCAAACTGATCTACAGATTCCAATGCAATACCTATTAAAATCCCATCAGCAGTTCGTCACAGATATAGAAATATAATTTTATGCTTCGTATGGAACCAAAGAAGACCCGAATTTCAAGAGCAATTCTAGGCAACAAAAACAAAATGGGAGGCATTAATATGCCAGATATCAAACTATACTACAAGTCGTTAGTAATATTAAAAATATGGTATTGGCTCAAAAATAGGAACATTGACAGTGGAACAGATGTAGAATCCTGATATAAAACATCCTCATATAGCCATCTCAATCTTGACAAAGAGACAAAAACATACGCTGGGAAAAGAATCCCTCTTCAATAAATGGGCTGGGAAAACTGGATAGCCACCTGTAGAAGGCTAAAACAGGACCACACCTTTCACTTCTCACAAAAACCAACTCACGCTGGATAACAGACTTAAACCTAAGTATGAAAACTATTAGAGATCTAAGGGAAAAAGTTGGAACACTCTCCTAGACATCGGCCTGGGCAAGAGTTATGAAGAAGTCCCCAAAGGTAATCACAGCACAACAAAAATCAATAAATGGGACATGATCAAACTACAAGCTTCTGCACAGCCAAAGAAATAGTCATGAAGTAAACAGACAACCTACAGAATGGGAGAAATTTTGCATCCTTATGCATCTGATAAGGGACTGATAACTAGAATATACTTAGAACTCACGAAAATCAGGAAGAAAAAATCAAATAACCCATTAAAAGTGGCAAAGGTTGAACAGAAACTTTCTAAAGAAGACAGAAGAATGGCCAACAAACATATGAAGAAATGCTCAACATCTCTAATCATCAGGGAAATGCAAATCAAAACACGAGATATCACTTAACCCAGTGAGAATGGCCTTTATCAAAAAATCTCCAAACATAAATGCTGGCGTGGTTGCGGAGAGAGAGGAACACCCTACACTGCTGGTGGACTGCAAACTAGTTCAACCTCTGTGGAAAGCAATATGGAGATACCTTAAAGCGATACAAGTGAATCTACCATTTGATCCAGCAATCCCATTGCTGGGCATCTACCCAAATGATCCAGTGACACTCTACAAAAAGGACATCTGCACTCGAATGTTTATAGCAGCACAATTCATAATTGCAAGGCTGTGGAAACAGCCAAGTGCCATCAACCCAAGAATGGATTAATAAATGTGGTATATGTATACCATGGAGTACTATTCAGCTCTAAGAAACAATGGTGATATAGCACATCTTATATTTTCCTGGTTAGAGCTGGAACCCATACTACTAAGTGAAGTATCCCAAGAATGGAGAAACAAGCACCAGGTATATTCTCCAACAAACTTGTATTAACTGAGTAGCACCTAAGCGGACACATAGGTACTACAGTAATAGGGTATTGAGCAGGTGGGAGGGGGGCGGGGGGCGGGTATATACATACATAATGAGTGAAATGTGCACCATCTGGGGATGGTCATGATGGAGACTCAGACTTTTGGGGAGAGGGGGGGAAATGGGCATTTATTGAATCCTTAAAATCTGTACCCCCACAACATGCCGAAATAAAAAAATAAAATAAAATAAAAATAAAATAAAAAAAAGAAAACAGACTAATTCAAAATCAATAGAACAAATAAAAACTAATAAATATACCTTAACAAGAAACATTCTATTCTACTGTTACATACTGAGATGTTGAAGACAAGATAAATAGGAAGAATTCTACTCAGGAAGAAAAACTGGAAAGAGAAAAGTAAGCTACGGCATGCCCAATTGGTATCTTCTCCCAGAAATTGAGGGTTATACCTCATAGAGCCTGGAACCTTTGGACAAAAGATAGAAAGTAACTAAAACAAAAGAAAAGATAAGGCCAATTTTGAACTGCCACAGTCATCATCTAAGGTAGCCGTCCTCAAACTATGGCCCACGGGCCACATGTGGGTATTTTTGCCCATTTGTTTTTTTACTTCAAAATAAGATATGTGCAGTGTGCATAGGAATTTGTTCATAGTGTTTTTTAAACTATAGTCCGGCCCTTCAGTGGTCTGAGGGACAGTCAACTGGCCCCCTGTTTAAAAAGTTTGAGGACCCCTGATCTAAGGGCTAAATGGAAACTGATCCTGAATAGAGTCCTGACCACCTCAGGACTTTCTAAGTACACCATTGCTCTAGGACTGGGAAACCCTTTTAAGTGTTTAAGGTGGGCAACCCAAGTGTGAACATATGTCATTGTGACCTGTTTATTCGATTTTTAAAAATAAAAATAAAATAAATGAAAGAGAATGAACTTACTATCTCTTAATGGGGCATAACAGCTGAAGCCACTGGTCCCGAGTGATGAAAAACAGCATTTGTATCTCAAGCATTCACTTTCGTTAAGGTCTTGCAGCTGTTTACAAGGCTTTGCCACCTGATTCTCCTTTAGTATGCATGCTTTTAGAAACAGAAATTTAAGAAAAAGAATTTAGCACAGTAATAAGCACTTTCCCTAATTAAATAATTACTGCAAGGCAAAAAAAGAAAAACATTTACACTGCTACATTCAAAGACTAATGACAAATATACAAATAATGATGAATGCTAAAAAAGAATTAAACTACAAGTTACTACAAAGTTATTAAACATAACATTTTAAATTTTAGATGAACTTCAGAAATACACAAATTGTTAATTGTTTTTAAAAGACCAAAAATCATGAGCTGAGTGGTGGTAATACAAATATAACACAGAAGAAACTAAATATTAATAACAGGACAAATGGCCTTAAAACTAACACCCTGTTAAAATGATAACACAGATATCCTCTCAATTTTGCAAAGCTATAGAAACTCATTCAGTACATCAATGAGAATGAATGTAAGTAAATTCACATAGTTTATTGCTAGAGAGTAAGGTAAGTGATACTATTGATATTGACCTACTTTTTGTGAACACCTAATATACTGGCACATAAATATATTTTAAGATTCTTCCTTTTGGTCCTAAGTTATGACTCTATAATTTTGCATAGGCAATGATTTATGGCATGAACACCAAGATTCATGCAACTGTAATAAATTCATACATATATCAACCCAAAAGACTTGCAAGTTCAAATAGCTGATTTTTAAAAATAGCCTGCTTTAGAAGAGAAACAAATAACAACTAAAAAGACCAATATCAGATTTTTAGTCAAGAAAAACATACATAGTATGTCTTAAGACCAGAATAGATTCAGTTCAATTTCCTATATCGTTAACAGCTACAGGCTTGGGGAAAAAAACCAAAAACTGATGTTTTATAATCACTCTAAAGCACCTAAACATCAGCAAAGAACAATATAATTGTTTTAAGCATATTTTAATCTCTTAGTATATTTTATTACATTACTCTTCTTTATAGATTGGAAGTTCCTGAAGTTAACATAAAAAATAACAATAGCTACCATTCATTAGGCATCTATTTGGACCAAGCATCTTGCTTTACACACATTACTACTAATCTTTGCAACAAACTCCCAAACTGCATTTCATAACTTCTATTTGAAAAATAAGAAAATAAAAGATCAAAGTAACTTGTGCAAGGTCACAAATTTAATGCATTACCAGGTGGCCTGGATATTCATTACCCAAACATTTTAGACATGTGAGAGTTTATCCTATTTTGCTGTTATATACTCTAAGCAATCTGTTCTTCAATTCTTCCAGGCCCAAAGTGACTCTTTTCCCCCAGGTCAGACTGCATCTGGAATATCATGTTCAGTTCTGGATGTTACAAACCCAGAAAAGGGTGACAATAGTCAAGACCTAGTTAGAGATGGGATAGACTCCCTGTGTTCTGAGTTTCTCACCATTGGTACTGTTCAAACACCACTTTCAAGGAATGCTAAAGAGAGGGTTAGGGGCTAGGCATGGTGGCTAATGCCTGTTATCCCAGCACTTTGGGAGGCCAAGGCAGGGGGATTGCTTGAGGCCAGGAGTTCAAGACCAGCCTGGGTAGCATAATAAGACACTGTCTCTACAAAAAATAATAAAAATAAAAAATTAGACAGGCATAGTGGTACATGCCTGTAGTCCTAGCTACTTATTACTTGGGAAGCTGAGTCAGGAGGATTGCCTGAGCCTAGGAGTTCGAGGCTGCAGTGCACTATGATCATGCCACTGCACGTCAGCCTGGGAAACAGAGCAAGACTTCCCCACCCCAAAAAAGGGTTAGGGTTAAATCATAGAAGAGACAGGACTAGATGACATCTAAGATCCCTTCTAATGTTGAACTTCTGTTATTTCATACTTAAATTACATCTGATGGAACTTTATGCTAGATATTAAAATTAACTTTCAGACTCAAATTACTAAGAGGCACTTGTAATTTTAAAGAATAAAAGGGTAGAACATTTTTTATCAGGTTTATGCATATAATTTTGTCTAAATTGAGAAGGATCAAGTGACCTCTCAAGATTCCCTGCCAGTGTGTCTTAAGGTTATCATTTTAATCTGTGAGAGATAAGTGTTTTACAAACAACAGCCTAATGACAAAATGACACATTTTTTTTTCAATGCCTAAATGGTAAGAGTGTTTATTTTCAATTATATGGGGGAGGAAATAAATTGGTTAAAAATATTTCACATTTTATAAACTTGTACTTATTCTTTTCAAGTAAGACAGTATGCACATTTTATAAATATTTAATGTTTTCAAGGATTTGAATCAATCTAGGTCAGATGTTTCCATTAAAATGGAACAATTTGATTTCGTTGAGCAAAATTGTTATTTCATACAAGTGATTTTACTGTACCAGGTTGGAGAAATATTAGGAAGATATATATATATCTTATTTAGACTATTTTCAAAGGTGACTTCAGTGTTTGTTTAATGTAGTTGTTATAGGTAACTATGTGACAGTTTATGTCTGCTATTTTCATAAACTCTAAAGCTTAAATCATCATTTATTGTTTATGACCAGCGTTGGTACTCACTAAACCATTCTTTTAGCCTACCATAACACCTTTGCAGATTTCTTTTTTTTTTTTCACTCAATTTGACTATGGCAGTATTTTTTATTTGTTTAAAGAACTTGTTTATTTTGCTATTCTCACTGGCAATAGGTATTATAATGCCTATTTTATACTTGATGAAATCAGTATTGAAAAACAGAGATTTATGCAATCACAGAAGTCACAGAAGAATTCAGTGGTAGAGTCTGGAATTAAACAATTGAATTGTTTAATTCCAGACAAAGTGAATACAATTGTGAATACAAATTTTGTGCTTACATATGTACAACAAATTTTGTTATAATAAATTCTGCATGATTTTTAATAAAAGCTTTATCTTTGTAATTCACATATGTCAATTTATGTGAAGCTTCCCCTTGAAAGGGTACCACATGCTATACAAAATGAAATGTGTTTATTTATGGTTAATAATTCTCAGGAGTCATCATGTGCTTGATAAACACATTATATACAGAATCACAAAAAGATGGTGTGACTTGAAACATGGACTTTTTATCATTAAAACAGATAGAAAGACATCTGGTATATTCCATAACATCAGAGCCACACAGTACCCTGCTTAATGCCACAGAGGACATAAATTTTATAATACTGGGTCAGTGACTAAATTTCAGGCAATGCCATTCAGGTAAATTGTGACAGGTTTAGATATCTGTGAAGGAAAAGTATTTTGTAAAGAGTAACAAACATTTAATGAAATGATAAAATGCCTTAAAAATATTGCTTCAGCTCATCCTCACAATTCATTGTGATAAATATCTTTCTTTTAAAGATGAGGACACTAAGATTCAGCAAGATTATCTTGCCTAAAGCAAAGGGCAAAACCCAGGATTCAAATTCAGATCTGTTCCACACCAATGCCAGTACACCATGATACACCATGCTGCCTCCTAAACATTTAATTACTGTTTTCAAAACAAGGATATTAGGGGGAAAAAATTAAAAAAAGAACATACTTGTTGGGAAGAAAAAATGCAACAGAATTCCCCACGCAGAATCGTCTTCCAGAAGTTGTCCATCAGCATTTTCCTTGTTCCACAGAATATAGTCATTTGGAGACAAAGAATTTGGGAACCCTTAAGAAGAAGTAAAATTATTAATTCCCACACATAAAGCATTAATCACTTTCAATGACCCTTTAATAGTAATTACCTTTGCTTAAATTAATTATAGGAAGTCTAATAGCTAACAGGTATTATACTTTCAACACTAACAGTTTGGGTATTATTAATAACCAGAATGCAATTCTTCTGTGAAACTGAAAAGAGTATTAAATTTACAAATGCCTAAGCTATAGGCTGACACATCCTATTGTTGCACTGTAAACTGATTTATAATAGTGAATCTGCCTCTGAAAAACAACAATGATGTTTAGAGGCCTAACCAATTGACAAACTGGAAATTCCAACTAAATCAGACCCCATCACAGAAACTCTTGGCAAACATGTTGGCTTCCTTATATACTGATAAAAATGAAGGCCTTAGATACTATAAAAACTTCCTGGTCCTTCTTTCTCACTATTTCAAAGAACCTATTTTTAGTCTTATTTGCACAATTCCCTCCTATATAAAAGGATAAAATAGATTTGTCCTTATCATTAATTATTTCTCGAGACTATCTTTAATAATGTTACAGAATTCCATTATATGGCTCTATTATAACTGAATTAACCATGTACCCATAGAAAAACATTTAGATTGTTTACAATTTATTGACACTATAAAGAACACTGCAATGATTATTAGATTATTATTGGCTTGAAATGATTAGCATTGGAGCTATATATTTACATATATTCATGAAAATTTCCTTAAGATAGATATCCAAATCAACCTTAAGCAAGGCTACCCACAAAGTACACTTCCACTAGTAGTACAGACAAGTACCAGTTTTCCTGCACCTTTGTCTTTCTTGTTGTTATTTGTCAATTTGATGACCACAATAAAGCAAAATCACTTTTGTTTTAATTTGCAGCTTTAGTCATCAGTGAGCTTACATCTTTCATACATTTCTTGGAAAGTTGAGAACTGAAAGAGTATTAAGTTAAAGAATGTAAGCCTTAATCTATCACATTTCAAATATTTTTTCAAGGTAGTTGGTTACCTTCACATTTTCTATGGTGTTTGGGGAGGCTTAGAAGTTTTACATTTTTTATGTAATCAAATTTATCCATCTCTTCTTTTATTAATTCTTCCTTTCAGGTCATATTTAGAAAGACATATACTTTAATACTTCCTTCTAACATTTTTATGGTTTTACTTTTTAAATTTAAATCTTTAATCCTTGGCCGAGCACGGTGGCTCACACCAGTAATCCTAGCACTCTGGGAGGCCGAGGCGGGTAGATTGCTTGAGGTCAGGAGTTCAAAACCAGCCTGAGCAAGAGCGAGACCATGTCTCTACTATAAATAGAAAGAAATTAATTGGCCAACTAATATATATAGAAAAAATTAGCAGGGCATGGTGGCGCATGCCCGTAGTCCCAGCTACTCGGGAGGCTGAGGCAGTAGGATTGCTTGAGCCCATGAGTTTGAGGTTGCTGTGAGCTAGGCTGACGCCACGGCACTCACTCTAGCCTGGGCAACAAAGCGAGACTCTGTCTCAAATAAATAAATAAATAAATAAATCTTTAATCCACCTGGAATATATTTGGAAGTATGTTATGAAGTGGGGATGCATTTTTCCAGCTGTCCTAATATCATTTATTAAATTCATCATTTTCTACATGACATCATCATCATATTTTAAGTTCTTATATAGTCATATATCTGTTTCTTGACTTTCTATCCTGTTCCACTAATCTATCTGTAAGTGCACCAATACCATTGTTATAATTTATCTTATGTTATTATATGTTTTAATAACTGATCTGGCAATCCTTTCATTAGTTTTATTATCAAAATTTTATTCTCAACTCTTAGAATTTTTTAGATGAAACTTAGAATCATTTTGTCAAGTTGAAATAAATCCTAATAAGATTTTTACTGTAATATGTTCACTTATTAATATTTAGCATTCATTCAAAAGACATTTATTGTATGTCTCATGTGCTATGCATAAATTCAATTAAATGTAGATTCATTTGGAGACAAATAATGATGATATAAAATTTTTCACCCAAGTTGTTTTATTTCTCCACTCACTCAAGTGTCGTTTTATGTCCCTGAGTAAGGTTTATAGTTGCATTCATATAGTTCCTACACTTTTCTTATTGCGGTTATTCCCAAATATCATCTGTAATTTATTGTTATGCAAATATGACCTATTTCACCACATTTTCTAGCTGATTACTAGTATTTAAGAGAGTATTGACTTTCGAACATATACTTTCTTACCTACTACCTTAATTGACATTCATTAGTTCTCATTGTTCTTCAGTTTCTTTTCAGATAGCCAGTCCTATTACCACTAAATACAGGTGGTTTTGTCTCCTTTCTTCCCAGTATTAACAGCTGATTTATTTTTCATCTGTCATTGCATTGCCTAGAACTTTTTAAACTATGTTGACTAACAGCTATAATAATAGGCATTCTTGAGTCTTTCCTGATTTTAATAGGAATATGCTAGTATTTCATCATTAAGTATAATGTTGGCTGCTGGTTTAACATAGATATTTTATACCAAATTAAAAGTACATTCCTCTGCTCATAGTTCACTACAAATTTTGTGCAGTTGTTTGCTTCATCTTTAGTCAGTAATGGAAGTGGGATTCTATCAAATGCTTTTAACATTTACTGCCAAGGTCATATTTCCCCTGCCTATTAATTATTGAATATTAATATATTTTCCAACATTAAAATATTCTTACACTCTTGAAGTCCACAAGTGCAAATGATTTATGTAGGATTCATGGGTCAAAATTCCTAAGTGAAGTGTGTCTGTAGCTTTCTTTTGTGTGCTAATCTGTAGGTTTTGCCATGAAAGTTAAATACTGGTTTCATAAAATAACCTGGAAAGCTTCCTGTCTTTTTTTATATACTGAAACAATTAAATAGTATAAGGATTATTTGATCCATTAAAGTTTTGGGAAAACTCGTATATAAAGAGTCTGATCCTGAAGGGGCTGAAGCAAGATGACTACATAGAAACCTCCAGAAATCATTCCTCTGCATGAACACCAAATTCAACAACGATCCATGAAAGAAGCACCTTTAGAAGAACTAAAAATCAGGAAAGTGATAATACTACTTAGTTTTAACATTATATCAAGGAAGAAGGCACTAAAAAGGGCAGTCCCTCCCGGAGAGAGATTGATCTCCCAGCTTAGAGTTCCCAACTCAGAGTGTCCTAGCCTCTAGCCCCAGCCAGACAGGGTTGGCCTTAGCCTGAGGTGAAACCCAAGTTGCTGTGACTTTTCCCAGTGGTGCCTGGCCTTTGTTCAATCTTTCAGACAACCCTCCAAATTCCTGGCATACAGAGGGCAGATGGCCCCCTTCTAGATTTTCCAAGTTTTTACTTTATAGATCTTTACTTTAAAGATCTTTATAGATCTTTTGGTCATTTCAATGGACATTTGAAACAGGAGAGGCAATTAAACATCTTTTCTCAGGTAAGTGCTATCAGTGACAGCCTGAACCACAAGTCTTGAACATATTTATCCTGCCCTCCACTCCTAGTTTCTTCCCCACTCTGAAATACAATTATTTTAAAATTTATTTGAGCAGTATTTTTCAAAGTGTGATGTACTACTAGTAGTACATGAGAATTTTAGGTGGAACATAGATGAATATTTATGAATGTATTAATCTTTGCTATTTATGTATTTATTTAAAAGTATAGAAGAAAATAATATATGAGTAGTATATCAAACTTACCATAACACCAAACAAGGTTGACATCACTTGCTATATGGCAAACTTTTATAAGTTTTATCCCTGTTCTTTCCTTTCTGAGACAACTGTTTCTTTTTCCTCTCTCCCTGTCGCCAAGATTTTCCTCTTCATCCAAGCAGCTTCCAGCCTCTTTCCCCTCTCCCCTTACTTTTCATATGCAGAATAATTTCACCTTCTTGGCTTCTAGTTTGCATCCTTACACTTATTAGCATGTTGAGCAAATAAAAGTTTAAGAGCAAGCTTTCATAAATGGCAGCAGTAAATGGTAAAGAACCAATTGTTTCCTTATCACAAAGAATTTTTGTTTTTTAATTTCCTTGTTACAAAAAAGGCTAAAATTCTAACTACATTTCAAAGGAAAAGGAAAACCAGACTCAGTGCAGAGGGCTTCATAGATGTGTGACTTGTACAGTGGTACAGGGCCCCCCTAATTAGAAGGGCTCCATGTTTGGTTTAATGTTCTCTTACCACCATCTTGAAATCTTTAATAAATTTTGAACAAGGGATCTTGTGTTTTGATTTTGCAAATTATGTTGTCAGCCCTGTTCTGGGGCAAGGTCTATCAGATGAGGAACTGAATAACAAAGTGAGGAAACAGAATGTGAGCAATGGATAATGGTATCAGTTTCAAAAGGATTTTGCTGGGGTCTCAAGTCAAGAGTCTACCTATGCCTCCATCATTCTGAGCCTTGGCCTCAAACAGACCTGAATTTGCCTCGTGGCTCTACTATATACTAGTTGGTGAACTTGAGCAAGTCAGGAAACTTCTCTTTGCCTCAGTTTACTCATCTGCAAAATGGGGATAATATTTATTTTGAAGGGTTATAATGATTAAGTGAAGGCACATGTGAAGTGCTCAATACAATGTAAAACAAGTAAACATTGTATTACATGTCTTCATTGTTTATTTTTCTTGTTTAAAATTTTTAAATTAATAATATTACTTTGTTTTCAGAATATTTTTATAAATAATTGTCTTAATAGCAAATATAACCAATTTTCCATTTATAACTATGCTAGTTCCCTTTTTAAATATATTTACATAAAAAGTGAAGTGGCTTAAAGGAAATATGAATGACTTGGTAGCATTAAGATAACCAAGAGTTACAAAGGTGTTATACAAATGGCTGGGCAGGATAAATACCCATCTAATGAAATTTCTTCATTTTTTAGACATTATAACTGAAGCCTAAAGAGGTAAAGTAACTCGTCAAAGGTCACAACAGTAAGTTAGCAGTAGAATT